CCGGACCGTTGATCCCTCTGCTCGAAGGTGTGGCGCCATGAGATAACGGACACCTTGGGGTGGAAGTGCTCTTTCAGCAGCTTCTTCAGGTCTGCGTAGCTTACAGACTCTACTGGAACAGGTGCTACAAGATTTTCTGCGATTTCGAAGGCGTCTTGGCCGCAAACGCAAAGCAGGGTGGCGGCCTTCAAGCTATCTTCCCTCACTTGGTTTGCCTTGAAGTAGTTCTCCATTCTGGATACGTAGGACTCCCACCGCTCTGGATGTGAGACGTCGAATTCCGAAAGCCTTCCGATTTTCGCCATCTTCGGATCTTCAGGAGACGGGTCTATCAGCCAGCCTACCCCCGAATGCGCACCGGATTGGCGGGCAGCTGCCGAGTCGACGCCGTTCCTTTCCGCCGCTCAGGACTCCTTGGTAAGCTTACACTTCTTCCTTTCCTGGTAGTGCAAGGCATCCCACCTCGTCGCCAGTGTTGCGTCCTTGGCGGGAAACAGACACGAGAAGCAGCTGGAGTTCTCAGTTTCTTTTATTCAGCGTTCAGCTTACAGGAAGATGGCTTCAGCCTCGCCCAAACGCCTCGCAGCCTCTTATATAGGCAACTCCCGGGTAAATGGGTTACTTTTCCCGCGCCAGCACCCGCGCATGCGCACGGCGCTGGCGACAGCCTGTCTGGTCCCGGGCAGCTTTGCACCTGCCCGGGACTGCCTGCAAACGCCCGAGCCGTTTGCAAAGGCTCGGGACATAACACCAATAGTAGTAAAGTTGGAAGGTACCTTGGAGGTCATCTAGTCAACCCCCTGCTCATGCAGGAAACCCTACACCATTTCGGACAAATGGCTGTCCAGTCTCTTCTTAAAAACTTCCAGTGTTGGAGTATTTACTGCTTCTGGAGGAAGGCTGTTCCACTGATTAATTGTTCTCACTGTCAGGAAGTTTCTCCTTAGTTCTAGGTTGCTTCTCTCCTTGATTAGTTTCCACCCGTTGCTTCTTGTCCTGCCTTCAGGTGCTTTGGAAAATAGCTTAATTCCCTCTTCTTTATGGCAGCCCCTGAGATATTGGAATACTGCTATCATGTCCCCCCTTGTCCTTCTCTTCGTTAAACTAGACATACCCAATTCTAGCAACCGTTCCTTATATGTTTTAGCCTCCAGTCCCCTAATCATCTTTGTTGCTCTTCTCTGTACTCTTTCTAGAGTCTCAACATCTTTTTTACATCGTGGTGACCAAAACTGGATGCAGTATTCCAAGTGTGGCCTTACCAAGGCATTGAAGAGTGGTATTAATACTTCACGTGATCTTGATTCTATCCCTCTGTTAATGTAGCCTAGCACTGTGTTGGCCTTTTTGGCAGCTGCAGCACACTGCTGGCTCATATTTAGGTGATTGTCTACTAGGACTCCGAGGTCCCTCTCACAGTTACTACTATTGAGCATGGTGCCACCTATGCTGTACTTGTGCATTTGGTTTTTCTTGCCTAAATGTAGAACCTTGCTTTTTTCACCATTGAATTTCATTTTGTTAGTTAGTGCCCAGTGTTCAAGTCTGTCCAGATCCCTTGTAACTAATAAACATGTTCTTTGAGGAATTTGCAAGCCTTGGAGTTCTGCTTTATTTGTCTCTGTCTGTCGGAACCGTGACAGATATAATAAAACACATTTTTAAAATTCTATCTTTTACAAACATTGCAGTTGTCAAGTTGTTGGCTTAAGATAAGGAAACCTGAATTTAACTCAGTGGGCCAATCACTATCTCTGAGTCAAACCAACCTATAGGATTTGTATTGTGTGGAAAAAAATTGAGGAGAAAAAAATGGACATAAATCTAATTAACCCATCAACAATTCCACCATACCCTTTTCCACAAATAATTTTTGTTAAATACCTATGTCCCATACACATATCTTACCTGTGGGATTTTGTAGATGCACAGAATAGTTGCCATGTACAGACAAATGTCAGGTCCCCCAACAGCTGCTACAAGAAAGTTTCCTGCATCACACTTGTAGTTTTGGATGAATCTGTCTTGGGTGAAGAGAAGCTCCAGAGATGCAAGATAGGTCCAGCTTGGACTGAAGTAGCCATTGTAAATTTGGTAACCTAAGGAAATGTTGGGCAAGATCCAGGAATTTTTTGTTGATCTCCTTTATGGCAAATACCAAGGCCAAGATTTGCTGATAATTTGGGGTCACTACCCTGCAGTAAAATGACACGATCTGTTCAGCTATATCTCCTGTAGCGTAAATATTTGCTACACTTCAGTTCAACCTAATCTGAGCAAAAATGTTGCACTAACGTACATGATATAATTTTGATCCAGAGAAGAGTGAAGCAAAATTATCCCAACAGGAAATTTACGTTTCTAACCCAAGACCAACTTAGCATTGTTTGTAAGGCTAGCATTTATTTAAAGCAAGCATACATATACCCACAAATCCCAGAGCAGATAAATAGACATTCAGTTGAACTGAACATTAAAAAAAAATCTATTTGATTCAGTTGGAATTAATTTAAAAAGAGAGATGTGGTTTAGTTTCTATGTATTTTAATGGAAATTCATTCAACAATATATCTGCAAAGTCTCTAATATCTGTTGTTGGATTAGAATGTTGCTCTTGAGGTACAATCATAATGCTGGAATTTGTTGAAAAACCAGGTTGAAATGTTCTGGTTTCAATAAAGGAGAATATTTTTAGCTCAAGACTGAAATGAGGGGTTCCTGATACTCTCTGAGCTTGGTTGTTTCCTTGCAGACTTTTCATTACCCAAACTAGGTAACATCATCCCTACTACTTTGGATAATGAAACATCACCAAGAAAACAGCCAAGCTCAGAGAGCATTAAGAATCCCACGTGTCCTGGTTTACTTGGATGGAGATATGGAGAAGGAGATTGTATCATCATGATCTTCACTAAACCTTTTTAGGATTAACTTGATTTAAGGGCAGACTTTTGTAAATCAGTGAAACAGAGCTTACACAAATTCTTGCAGAAGTTCCATAGAAGGGTGTCGGTTGAAGAAAGTGGGATTAGAAGTCTCCAGATTGAGAATACTTGTGAAGAATTGGGAGAGGCTTTCTAATGCCACAGTTAGTTTCCTTGCATGTTATATGAGCAATTACTGTTAATACAGAAAGTATGAATGTCCCAATCCTGAATGAAAGGCTTATTTCCAGATACAAACTGACCTTTAGTTTTGTCTCCGATAGCATCATTTGACCTGAATTCCTCAACATTTTTTTTATTAAAAGTTTTACAAATTTAATACAATATACCCTTCCCAATCCTTCCCCCCTCCCCCACTTCCCAGAGATGATTACAGGGTAACAAATAAACAAACATAATCTAACTAACATTAACCAACTATACTGTCAATCAAAACCATAACACACTTTAACTCTTTTGCAAGACAAGTATTAACGAATTATAAACAAAAATAATATAATTAAAACTATTAATAATTATCTAAAATCTACTCATATGCAAGATAATACTTTTCAGTTTCATATTTTTTTTAATATAATCAATCCATCTTCTCCAAACCATAATATATTTTTCTTGTGAATGATCCTTCAAATATGCGGAGATTTTCGCCATTTCTGCTAAATTAGACACCTTAAGTATCCATTCTTCCATAGTAGGCAGATAATTTTTCTTCCAATATTGGCCCCACTAATAATCTTGCAGCTGTTATGAGATTCAACATCAAATTGATTTCTTTAACATCAAAATCTACAATAATACCCAACAAAAATAATTATGGAGTAAACTTTATCTTTCTCTTAAAAATCTTTTGAATATTCCACCAAATCTTAATCCAAAAAGCTTTTATATCTCTACAAGTCCACCAAATATGAAAATAGGTTGCATCTAAACTTCCACATCTCCAACATTTGGGGTGTAAATTTAGATACATGCGGGACAATTTTTTGGGATCCAAATGCCATCTATAAAACATTTTATAAAAATTTTCTCTTAAATTTTGCACTTGAGTAAATTTTACATTTCTAACCCAAATTGTCTCCCATGTATCCAATAAAATCGGCTCTTGAATATTTTGACCCCATTTAACCATACAATCTTTAACTAACTCCGTTTCAGAATCCAATTCTATTAAAACACCATAAATTCTCTTTATATGAACTCGACCTTGATCTTTAATCTGTTTTACCAAATTCGCATCCTCTAATGTGATACCAACCTTTTGATCTAAACTCCACCTCACTAACAATTGATTATAATAAAACCAAGAGTGTACAATATTTTCTTGCTTCAACTCAATTAAAGACTTTAATTGCCAATCCTGCCCAGCCAAACTAAGTAATTCCTTATAGGAAATCTTATCCAAATTCACTCCCCTAGATACTCCCTCTATCACGTGTCCAGGAATCCCCCAAATTGGAATTTTATAATTTAACCTATAATAATACTTCTTCCAGACACGCAACAAGGCACTTCTCAAGATATGGGTTTTTAAAACCTCAACATTTTTGAGGCAGAATTAGGCAGCACCACACATCAGTGAAACAAACGAGTTTCTATCGTCAGTGTCTTTATAAATGTTGCTGTAACGCTGCTTCTTATCTTTTCTAACAGCCCTTTGGAACTCTTTGTTGAGTTTCCTTTTGAGATTTATTTTCTTTCGTGGCATTGGTTTCTCTTTTCTTTTTGGCAATTTTTATGGGTTTGCAGTTTGCATTTTTAAAACCTCTTTCTTCATTTATGGAAATATATGTTCACATTTGTAACTACTTTGAGCATTCATTCATTCATTCATTCATTCATTCATTCATTCATTCATTCATTCATGTTCAGTCCACAATTTCCCTGGTTCTTTATCAAGGAGGTTCAGAACTTCTAAGTGATTCCTGATGTTTTTCTTTTTAACTCATTTTACTGTTTTACTGTTTTTATATTTCCTGTGGTAGTTGACATGAATGTTACTTAGGGATTGGGAAAGTCAGCCCGCTAGCCATTGGTTCAGATCCTGGCCCATAGGAGATGCTAATAGAGAAGGTGAGAATTCCTACCTAATCCCCATTCCTGGAATATTCCTCTTTTCTGCAGCCAAGGTGCCTTGGTACCTTACCACCATCAGGCATGCCCCAATATGACCACTTGGACAATATTGCAAAATGTCAGTGTAGTGTGAGAGAATAAGAACTAATGGAGGAAGACATGTCATCATGGCAGTGTCCCACTTCATAGCTGGAGTGAGAGCTAGCTGGCTGATTTTAAAAGAAGATGGTAGTGTGGAAACACAAATCAGGGTGTGTAACTATTGACATTAGGCATGACCTGTATGGAAGTCCCTTCATTTACTAAGTTCTTTAGATGAAAATGGATTTGACCTTGTTTCCCATCTAAACTCAAGAATGACTCTGTTAAAGAAAATATCATGGTGATTCCTAACCAAAGTAGTGACTTGGCACTTAGGAAGGCAATTCCATTTTACCAGAATGCCTAGTCTTTTCTTATTGGAAGAGGCCAACTTTTTAGGAGAAATTACATTACAGGACACATTGGAAATTGAATTCTCCCATCCTTGGTCTTACTCCTAATTGATGCAAGTTCTTTTCCTGTTCATTCTTTCTTAGAGGGACAATACAATATGGAGAAGAGCGTGGGCGATGCTAGAAATGTACAAATAATAGCTTTATGAAAGTGATTAGAGCTGAGTTCCAGTAACTATAGCAAGTGTAAAAGTGACCCTATGTGTATGTTCAGAAAAAAGAAGCAGGTGGCATTCAGTTACAAAGGGAAATAAAGTACTTTGAGATGTACTTTACGATTTGGTCACTGGGATTCAGGAGATTCATTCAATGTAACAACTGATGCATAGTTGTGTTGAGGTGAACTTGTTTGCTTCAATGTTTTTGCACTTTCCTAAAATAATTATTATAATTATGGAAATCATTGGTGTTATCAACTTGTCTAGCCAGAGTTCTGGTGGCCTTGTGGAAGTTTAAAGGATTGGAAGAGAAAAAGTAGAAATGTCAATATAAACCAAACAGGGCTATGGAGAACTGCAATTAGGGACTTGGTGTAGCAGGAATCTGCCATGAACTCGTGACAGCTTGCCCTGATAATATTATAGTTATGCTTAAGATAGCTCTTTCTTGAATACCTTTCAGTGCATGCTTTCATAATCTCTATTTCCTGCTGTAATACATTTCTTAGCAGAGCAGGGCAGCTTGTTTCATAAACTGGGCTGATACAGTAAATAGATATGGGAAAAACTGCATCTTAGGTGAAGGTTTAGCATTAGAAATGAGGAGATGTGTAGTGTTGGCAATCTTACTGCTGCTGCTTCCTAACACAGTGGGCAAAGCAAGTTCTGTTAAATGCATGCAAAGTGAACCTCAGCGTATCTTGCTTGAGTGGCATAAACCAGGTGACATCTTCATTGGTGGGGTTACCTCTCACATCATTCCTATTTTTTCTGAGATAACATTTACAAAACTTCCTTCATTAGTGGGTGGAAGTGGCAAGAAGGTGACAAGCAACAGGGAGAAAGCAGAACTATTTAACTCATTTTTTGCATCTGTCTTTACACAAAGGGAAAAAACAGACCAACCTATCAAAAATAGTGCCACAAAAAACAAAACAGAAACACAAGTTAAGATAGGCAAGAAAATCGTTAGTGAGCACCTGTCCAGCCTAGATGAGTTCAAATCGCCAGGACCAGACGGATTACACCCCAGAGTTCTCAAGGAACTGGCAGATGTGATATCGGAGCCACTGAACTATATTTTTCAAAGATCCTGGAACACAGGGGAACTACCAGAGGACTGGAAAAGAGCTGATGTAGTTCCCATCCTCAAAAAAGGAAAAAAAATGGATCCAGGAAATTACAGACCTATCAGCCTGACCTCAATACCTGGGAAGATCCTGGAAAAGATAATCAAACAACGAATCAACGAACACCTAGAGGCAAACAAAGTCATTACTAAAAGCCAACATGGGTTTGTCAAAAATAGATCATGCCAGACAAATCTTATTGCATTCTTTGACCAAGTGACAAAATTAGTGGATCAGAGGAATGCTGTGGACATAATTTACTTGGACTTCAGTAAGGCATTTGATAAAGTAGATCACAACCTACTACTTGACAAGATAGAAAAATGTGGGGTAGACAGAACCACCACCAGATGGATCCGTAGCTGGCTGACCGGCCGTACTCAGCGAGTGGTCCTCAATGGAACTGCATCTATATGGAGGGAAGTGTGTAGTGGGGTGCCCCAGGGCTCTGTTCTGGGCCCAGTACTCTTCAACATCTTCATCAACGATTTGGATGAAGGGATAGATGGGGAACTCATCAAATTTGCAGATGACACCAAGCTGGCAGGAATAGCCAACACTCCAGAAGACAGGCTTCAGATACAGAAGGATCTGGACAGACTTGAACACTGGGCACTAACTAACAAAATGAAATTCAATGGTGAAAAAAGCAAGGTTCTACATTTAGGCAAGAAAAACCAAATGCACAAGTACAGCATAGGTGGCACCATGCTCAATAGTAGTAACTGTGAGAGGGACCTCGGAGTCCTAGTAGACAATCACCTAAATATGAGCCAGCAGTGTGCTGCAGCTGCCAAAAAGGCCAACACAGTGCTAGGCTGCATTAACAGAGGGATAGAATCAAGATCACGTGAAGTATTAATACCACTCTTCAATGCCTTGGTAAGGCCACACTTGGAATACTGCATCCAGTTTTGGTCACCACGATGTAAAAAAGATGTTGAGACTCTAGAAAGAGTACAGAGAAGAGCAACAAAGATGATTAGGGGACTGGAGGCTAAAACATATAAGGAACGGTTGCGAGAATTGGGTATGTCTAGTTTAACGAAGAGAAGGACAAGGGGGGACATGATAGCAGTATTCCAATATCTCAGGGGCTGCCATAAAGAAGAGGGAATTAAGCTATTTTCCAAAGCACCTGAAGGCAGGACAAGAAGCAACGGGTGGAAACTCATCAAGGAGAGAAGCAACCTAGAACTAAGGAGAAACTTCCTGACAGTGAGAACAATTAATCAGTGGAACAGCTTGCCTCCAGAAGCAGTAAATGCTCCAACACTGGAAGTTTTTAAGAAGAGACTGGACAGCCATTTGTCCGAAATGGTGTAGGGTTTCCTGCCCGAGCAGGGAGTTGGACTAGATGACCTCCAAGGTCCCTTCCAACTTTACTACTATTACTATTACTATTACTTCTCAAGACTGGATATATATTCCAATGTAAGAAATTCATTTTCTCTCTTCCTCACAAAGCTTTCAGTAATGACTAGAGGCTCTCCCCTTTGTTTGTTTATTCTTGCTGTATACATATTTTTGTACACCTCAGGGTGGCATACAAATTTCTTAGGATGGCATTGTAGTGACATCCCAAAGTATAAGAGAAAATGACTTGCTATTGCCAGACATTTACAAAATAAATTAGCTAAAATAATATATGCCATGGGCCAGCTATATTCTGACTTTTTCTCTGTTCCCTCTTCTTTTTCATGGATCATCACCACATGGCAAGAAGAGATTGATGTATTTAGAACCATCTACTAAGTATCTAGATTCATGCACCATAGTTCTAGTATGCCTATTCATTCCTAAATCATCCAGATTTAACTCTATCACTTCTTGTTTCCTGAAAGATTCCACAAAGGGTAGTTCTCCTGCAGCAACATAGTGGAATTAAAAAAAAATGAAATGGGACATCAACAATCCCTCTAAACATTAATTTCTTTTTTTGGGGGGACATGTATTTCATTTTTTTCTCCTCTAATAGCAAACATCCCTCCTAAAATTTCCATTGGTCCAAAAGATGTTTCAGAAATCAAAATAGCTTCTAAGGACATTCAGTCCTAAAATATTGAAATGGACATGCAGTTGGGGAATCAGTTTTGGATAACATCAGTTGAAATATGTTATTGTGTGGAATCTATGAAAAAGATATTATTGTTGTTTCTGCACCAGGCATCCGAAATAATACTATACAATGCTTTTGTAGAAATACTATATTGAAAGCTCATCTGGAAAAACTGCATTCTATTTTAGATGATTTCTTCTCTTAAATGAATGCTATAAAGTTGGAAAAGAGTAGAAAATAATGGTAACACAGCAACATCTGGATTTGTCCAGGGTCTAATCTCTACTGAGACAGAGGTTCTGTCATCCTAATTTCTTTCTAGTTGGTATCTTGGAGAACTTTCAAACTCAAGGTTGACTCAGAAGTGTCTTGGAGAGAGATTTTCATGTCCCTTCTACGTTTTCATTATATAACAGCTCACTTTGATTTAAACATGTTTCAATCTAATCCCTCTCTCAATTTCAGATCTTCATTGCTAGAATTTGTTAGACAAAGCTGATTATACATGTTGAGTTATAGTCAGAAGAAGGCAGCAATTTAAATTCCTGGATAAAAAAGGTTACTTTAACATCCCAGCTGTATTTTTAGTAATACAACAATGGATTCAAGCCCATTGAGGATCCTCCAGAGCAACTACTAGGGAAATGTATATTAAAAAATCATTTTTAATCCTATCCAAGACATACAGTACATACATAGGTAAGACATACATACAGAACAATCAAACTAATGGTAACATATCATCTGAAATTATCCAGTACCCCAAATTTATTGAGGCATATATTCTGTAACCCTAATTTCTTTCTAGTTGGTATGTTGGAGAACATTCAGATCCAGGGCTGAATCAGAACTGCCTTGGGGAGAGATTCTTATGTGAAGAAATAACGAACAGAACTGAGAATAGATGATTATATATCTGGCATAGTTCTTTGATAAGTCTGTACCATAAAAATACATTTCTCAAAAAGCCACATTCATGGAGAACAAGAAAAGGAATGAAATTAAAACAGTAGCCAAGAGGAAATTGCATTACATTTGAGGGGTGAACAGAAATTAACAAATGAATGAAAGTCACAGATCCAGTTTTTCCAGTTCCATTAAGGAATACCTATGTTCTGTTAACTAATTTCAGAATCAGGATCAGTAAAAGTTTAATCAGAAATGTTAAAGTCATACATCTGGATCCAGATTTAGTTACGCTTGGACTGTACCCACTGGAATTATGGCCAGACTAATTTCAATTCTATTTATTTAATTTTTTGAGGATAATTAAGCCTGAATTCAATTCATGGGGATAAGAAATGAATAAAATGTATTGTTTAGGTTGTTCTTGCATTGAATGCAATTCCATACAAAGAGCTTATTATTTGATGAAGTTAATTCAACATAATTTCCATTCAAACCTTCAATTGTTATAGGTCAGTGATGACTAGCTGCTGACTAGCACTTTTTTATTTAATAAGCATAGTTCATGGATGTAATCACTTGGGTGGTAACTATGGCCTATTTTATTGTTTCTAAATGGAAACAATAAATAATTAAAATTAATTAATTTTAATTTCTGCCTACAAGCATCCAATCTCTTTCTTTGCAGATTGATCACAAAGTTCATCCAACATATCCTAGCCTTGGTCTTTGCCATTGATGAGATCAATGGGAATTCTGAGCTCTTACCCAATGTAACTCTTGGGTTCCACATCCATGACAGCTACACTGATTCAAGGACAACCTTCCGTGCCACTTTGGACTTGCTCTCCAACTCACATCAGTTTCTTCCCAACTACAAGTGTGGAAGCAGTCAAAAATTAATAGGTGTCATTGGTGGACTAAGTGCTGATGCTTCCTTGTGTATAGGAGATGTCTTAGGCCTTTACAAGGTTCCCCAGGTAAGAACTATGGATTGGCATCAGGATATTTGTGATAATCTGATACTTTGACCATCAAAAAATAAGGAGGCATGATTTAAGAAAAAGGATTTAATATATGAAGACATAAATAAGTGCATCATGACCACTGAATATGTGTCTTTTTGTGTGTTTTGTAAAAACACTTATTAATTGAGAAATTCTCCCTTAATTACAACCAGTTGAGACAGAGATTATATATATAATGATGTACCATTGGTATATGTCACCATAGAAATTATCTTGGACATAAATTGTACAATTATGTTGAAATGTGAACAAGAAGGGACCTTTTCACATATCTGGTGGAAATGTAAAAACGCTAGAAAATTCCAGATTCAAATAAGCACACTGATTCAGAGGATTTTAAAGATTAATATACAATTGAGACCAGAAGTTTGTCCTTTGGGTTTGATGGACCAACACTTGGGAAAAAAAGTCATTGAGCTTTGTTTTTGTGCGTGATAACTGTAGCAAGATTACTTGCCTCAGATTACTTGCACAAAGATGGAAAGATTCAGCATTACCCACAATAGGAGGAATAGTTCATGAAGATGATGGATCTTAGCCTTAATAGATGGCCAAATTGACTTGTTTGATCAAAGACAGTATCTAAATATATTGCTGACTGGAAACCACTTATAAATGTTTTGTATGAAACAGAAAATGAACTTATGATTTATGATTTGGGCAATTAGACACAATTGATTATATAAAGAGGAGAGTTATAGAATAAGAGGTAGATTTTACGTATAATTGCTGAAAACAAAATGTGAAATTATTTCTTTTCATCTTTTTTCTTTGTTTTCAATTTTTCTGCTATTTTAGCTTTCTTTTTGATTTGTTACTATCCTTTCTCTTATTTTATGTTAATTTATATTTTCCTTTAATAAAAATTATATATAAGCTTTGTAGTACATTTGAGCCTGAAAAAGTAATAATAACATTTTATAAATTACACTACAGCTACTTGATTTCCTAAAAATATTGCCATCATCAATTCCTTTAAGTGACAGGAAAAACGTTATTATATGAAAAAATGTATTATCTTAAAAACTGTATTGTAGGACACAGCAGACTACTCCAGCTAATATGTGTATGCATGTGCATGTATACACACAAACATACAAACTCACAAATATGGGGGGGAATTAAGTACTCATACTTCTTTAAATTCCATGTCATTACCATATTTTAAGGATTACATTCCAGTTCTCAAAATGGAATACAAGTTGGTGATCAAATTGTTCTTTTTGCTATTGCTCCTAATCCAGCAACAGTGGAAAGAGGGTAATGATGAAGAACAATAAAAAAAATAGCTTTAGAATAGCAATAGCACTTAGACTTATATCGCTTCACAATGCTTTAGAGCCCTCTCTAAGCAGAGTCTGCATATTGCCCCCAACAATCTAGGTCCTCATTTTACCAACCTTGGAAGGATGTAGGGCTGAGTCAACCTTGAACCACTCAGAATCGAACTCCTGGAGTGAGTGGTGAGTTAGCCTGCAGTACTGCATTCTAACCACTATGCCACCACGGCTCTTTATGATGGTGAGACGCAAATAGATAGATGATAGATAATGGATGGATGGATGGATGGATGGATGGATGGATAGATAGATAGATAGATAGATAGATAGATAGATAATGGATGGATGGTTAGATAGATAGATAGATAGATAGATAGATAGATAGATAGATAGATAGATAGATATCAGACACACGGATGGATGCTATGCAGGGTTTTGTCATCTTTCCATTTCATTCTTCTTTGAAACATATACCTTTTTTCTCTAGCTTTCTTATGGTTCATTTCAACCAACAGTATATTATGATTCTGACTTCTTTTCCTTTTATCGCATGGTTCCTAATGAAGCCCTTCAACTTTGGGGGATAGTACAGTTACTTCTGCATTTCAGGTGGAAATGGGTTGGCCTTGTCAGTATTGATGACCAAAGTGGAGAACATTTCTTGGAGGTTTTGCAACCCAGACTTTCTCAGCAGGGAATATGTTCTGCCTTCATCAAAAGAATTCCAAAAACTCATCCAATGTGCAGTATAGAAGAAATTCTTGAAAAAATTCCTAATGACATCTCAGTTTTCCAAAACAGCAGAGCCAATGCAGTCGTTGTATATGGAGAAAGTGTAACCTTGTTCTGGCTGGCAGATCTTTTATGGTGGAATGACATTGGGATGATCATGCTAACTCCAGAACAGAAGTCCAACCATTCTTCAGGAAAAGTGTGGATTGCAACAGCCCAAATTGATTTTGTATTCAACAACTTTCAAAAAGATTTTGATATACAGATCTTCCACGGTACTCTTTCCTTTTCAGTTCACTCAAAGAAAGTTTTAGCCTTTGAAGAATTTCTTCAGAAAGTAAAGCCTTCTTTGGCAAATGAAAAGAGTTTCATCAACAATTTTTGGGAAAATGCTTTCAGTTGTTTCATTTCCAGCTCAACCACAACCAATTTATGTACTGGAGAAGAGATGTTGCAGAATCTTCCTACACCTTTCTTTGAAATGGGCATGACCGGTCACAGTTACAGCATCTACAATGCAGTTTATGTCATGGCACATGCCTTAGATATGATGTATTCATCCAGCCGCAGATCTAAGACAATACCAATCTCTCAAGACATCGAACCTTGGCAGGTAACAATACTTTTCTAACCTTACTGCTACAAAGTGCAGGGTTTATTACCTGTGGAAATATTTTTTTATTGAAAATTTTTAAAATTTTACAAAAAAATTCCCTTCCCCAAACCCTCCCAACCCACCCCAACCCTCCCCCATCCTTTCCAGAACTGAATACAGGCTTAATTAGAATTTAAAAGAAAAAATTTTAAACACAAATAAACTATATACAAATTTGGTTACAATAATTAAGCAAATCAGAAAATACTTTAACACCAATATTTAAAAAGCAGAAAGAGAAAAAGAAAAGAAACAAGAAAAAGAAGAGAAAGGGGCGTTGTCTTACCTGAACGCCTTTTCTCAGCTTGATGATAGAGAATCCACGGATGGGTTGTCTTAATCTATCTGCTCCAATTAGACTAAGTCTGAAATTTAGTACCGCCCCCTCTGTGCCAACTGCACCCGAGTTTTAGGCTAAGGCGATACCCAGAGTTTAGTCCGACGCGTCTGAACAAATGGGGACCAGGCCAACTGACCTAATGGGAGGGAGTGGATTCTCCATCATCATGCTGAGAAAAGGCGTTCAGGTAAGACAACGCCCCTTTCTCCAGCATGATTGGATGGAGAACCCACGGATGGGACATACCAAAGCCCTGTGTCCCTAGGGTGGGGAATTAGATTGGGCCTGGTTCCCACCCAATGTTAATGCGTGTTCTAGGACCTTGCGGCCAAATGAAGCCGTAGAAGATGCATATATATCCATCTTGTAGTGACGGACAAAGGAGGAGGGCGATGCCCATGTTGCTGCCCTACAAACTTCCTCTATGGATGCCTGGGTAGACCAGGCTGCTGTAGTGGCTGCGCCCCTGGTGGAATGGGCCGTGATATGGCTGGGAGCTTGTAGTGACTGAGTCTGGTATGCCAGAGAAATACAAGCTCTAATCCACCTGCCTATAGTGGGTGAGGAAACCTTCTGTCCTAACGACGAAGGGTGAAATGACACAAACAGAGCCTCAGTCTTGCGGAAGGATGAGGTTCTCTGTATATAGCAATATAAGGCCCTGCGAACATCCAATCTGTTCCACTGAGCCTCTATGTCATTAGATGGGTTCGGACAGAAATCCGGCAAAACTATGTCCTGTGATCTATGGATACAAGGAGTTGACCTTGGGCACGAAAGAGGGATCTAACCTGAGAGTAACCCTGTCCCTATGGAAGATACACAGGTCCTTTCTCACTGACAGGGCAGCCAGCTCAGAGATTCTTCTGGCTGAAGTTACAGCAACCAGAAATGCCACCTTCATTGTAACTGCCTTCTGTAGTTACTCTGCGACAAGTTCCCCCAGCGTCTATCTCCCCTCCTTGATGTATTAACCAAGGTCTTGTGTTTATCCTTACCTTCGGTTAGGTATGGCTCTAGCGCCTTACCAAAGAGTTGTCCACCTGTATAAGGTTTAGAGGCCAGACGCCACTTGGCCTTGGTGTCTGCTCGCCAGTTTCTGAGCCAAAGGAGCCTTCGTGCTGAAATGTCTGCCGCGATGGTCCGGGCAGTGTATCTGATCATGTGTAAGGAGGCATCGGCTAGATACTGGGACGTGGCCACCAACTTACCCAGATTCTAGTGGGCTCTGAGCTGGTCCGGAGGGATCATGTCCTGGACCTCCCGTAGCCACAGGACCGAAGTCCTGGCAAAGAAGGCCATGGAGGTTGCTGCCCTCGTTGCCCAGGCTGATGCCTGGTGGGACCTGCGTAGGGCGGACTCAATCTTCTTGTCCTCTGCCCTTAGTGCCTCATTTATGTCCCGAGGGATGTTGGACTTGGGAAACAATGAGTTCAAGGGCTCATCAATCTCAGGAATCTCCAAAAGGGAGGTCAGGGAAGGAGCAACATTGAACAATGTTCTCTCTACCGCACCAGGGCTTAAGGGGGATCCTAGTTTTTCCCATTGTTTCTGGACTATATTTAGAAAAAGGGGAGGGCAGGGAATATGATTCTGTGAGACAGAGGGCTCAGTATATAAGGCATAGGGACCCTGGGATGTTGGTGGGTTCTCCTGTTCTTGGGCGAGGTTTGCAGTGGTGTAGGCCTTGAGAAGCAGGGAATTGAAGAAGGAGTGGTCAAAGAGACCGACAGGAGGGGTGAGTTCGGATGGGGCGATGCCCTCGTCCTCAGACAAAATTAGGCCAGCTTGTTCAGCTCCTGTAGATTCCAAATCCGATGCGGGATCATCCATCCAATCCGGAGATTGTGAATGATGTGTGGCCTGTAGGGGTGGCTGTGGGGTGTTGGAGGCCATAAATTGAGCCACAGCCTGGGCTATCATGGACTGGAGGAGGTTCGGGTTCAGGGCCTGGTTCTCAGGAGGGCGAAGTCCTGCTGCAGTGGGAGTGAATGTGGCCTGGGGACCTGAGGTGTCCTGACCGGTTATACCCCTCCCTGAAGCCACTGTTAGGTTTGAATCTGACTCAGGAATTCCCCTGGGGGGAGACCAGGCCCCTGGGGCTGAGGCACTGTGTGAAGAAAGGGGCTCAAATATAGACCTTCCCATCGTGCCAGTCAGATCTGGGGAGGCCGCTCTCAGTCTTTGGCACCCTTCCTCCCTCTGTGGCTCCCTGCTTGACCGGGCTCGCTTGGTGGTGCTCTTACCACTTGCCTCTGATTGGCGACTCCTCTTGGCCAGCTTGCTGCCTTTCTCTGCCATGATGAGTTGCTCTGGTCTCAACCATGGCAAAACACCCCCCCTCGGCGCTGTACTTCACCAAGGGAGTCTACAGAGATACTTCAGCCCAAGAGGGGGGTGGGCGGGGAGTTAATGGGCACCCCGATCACTTGGAATCGATCAGGCCCTCCCCGGTCGAACCTGCTCTCTCGACGATCCTGCCACCGATGATGTAATACTGCCTTCAGAAGAAAGTTCCAGGCAGTCTGGGCCTCAGCCACACACAAAATGGCCGCCAAGGGCTTTTGCCACACACAAAAGGGCCTCTGAGGGCTTCAGTCACACACAAAATGGCCGCCGATGACTTCAGGCACACTCAAAATGGCCACCGAGGCTTCAGCCCCACACAAAATGGCCGCTGGTGACTTTAGCCACCCACAAAATGGCCACCAGTGACTTCAGGCACACTCAAAATGGTCTCCGAGGCTTCAGCCCCACACAAAATGGCCGCCAGTGACTTCAGCCACCCACAAAATGGCCACCAGTGACTTCCGCCACTCACAAAATGGCCACCGAGGGCCTCAACCACATACAAAATGGCCACCGGGGGCTTCAGCCACACCCAAAATGGCCGCCGGGAGGCAATTCAAAATGGCGGCCGCCAATTTCGCGCCCTAAAAAACGGCCGTTGGAAGAAGGCCTTGAGGCCTAGGGTCTAAGCTGCAACGAGCCCTCGTTTGGGTGAATCGCCTGGGCTCCTAAAGCAGCTGGTGGCATGTGATTAGGCCGGCTGGAAAAGCTGTCGTCCAAGGCCTGACAGGCCCTCCCGGCTCCGAAAATTGGGCCGCGCCCAAATTCTCACCTGCTGCTCTCTGCTGGGGCCGAGGGACCTGGGAAGGCTCCCTCCAGGCTTGATGAGGCTCTGAAAACGACCTAAATCAAAGGTTTGATCTTGCTGTCCCTAACTGAGGGAAAACAAAGAAGGGAAAAGTTTCCCCCCCCCCAGAGGGAGAGGATTGTGAGTCTGTCAGCCTGAATAGGCTTCAGACTGGGATAATTGATCTTTCTTCTAGATATAATCGATTCTGAATCAATAATAAAATAACAAATAATAATAATAGCCTGAGCTAAGTAATTAAATAGAATTAAACTGTCTTCTGCTCCAGGAGCGAAGACAAAACGCGTCTTGGGGCAAAGAGACTAAGTCTAAAACTGGGGTGCAGTTGGCACAGAGGGGGCGGTACTAAATTTCAGACTTAGTCTAATTGGAGCAGATAGATTAAGACAACCCATCCGTGGGTTCTCCATCCAATCATGCTGGAGAAAAAAAAAGAAAAAAAGAAAAAAAATTAGAGAGAAAAAAAAATATCTAAAAAAAATATCTTAAACTTTAAATATAAATTATTCAAAAGCTAAATAATATTTTTTTATATCATACCTATATTGTATAACTGTGGAAATATTTTTGTGGGCCTTTTATAATTGTTTACACTTTTTTTCCCCCAAGCTCCATTCATTTCTTCAAAAAATCTCTTTCAACAACAGTGTTGGAGATGAAGTGACCTTCAATGAACATGGAGAAGTCTTGTATGGATTTGATCTTATCAACTTGATCACTTTTCCAAATGGCTCTTACACCAAGGTGAAAGTGGGAAGACTGACTCCTAAAAGACTGCTAGAGAAAGAATTGGTGGTGACTGACGAAAGAATTCAGTGGCATGCAGATTTCACCCAGGTAGCAAAAACATTATTGTGCTGAAATAATGGCTTGCTTACTTGCTTGCTAGCTAGCAGCTTGCTTATTTGTTTGTTTGTTTGTTTATTATCTATCTATCTATTTACTGTATTTGTTCATTTAATTTATATTCTGCCCATTTTGCTATCAATCTGAACAGGGTGGTAGCAGATTTCATATTTGAGAAATTTGAAACAGATTACAGGTGGCCACCAGCATATTTTAAACAGTAAATTATTAGTTAGTAAGTGGATTTTTGGGGAGGTGGGTGAATAATGAACTGAGACATGGGGTACAAAACCATGCAAATTCTTATAGCCAAGAACATCCATCTTTATGTGAAAACTCTTTGTTCCATTATTCTAAGTAGCTGACAGATGAAAACCAATATGGACCTTATCTCCATCCTAATGTTTTGAACAGGTACCCCCTACTTCTCTGTGCAATGATCCCTGCCAGCCTGGATTTCAGAAGGTCAAGAAGGAAGCTGAGCCCTTCTGCTGCTATGATTGTCTTCAATGTGAAGAAGGGAAGATTTCCTATCTGATGGGTAGGTCTGCCCCATTTTTAAGTGTGCCAGAAATGAGACCTAATGAAGTTTTACTTCAGTCATTGTTTGACTGCCCCTTCCTCATCCCATTCATGTAGAAACAAAAAATTCACTCGCTTTCAAATTTTTATTAATCAATTTAGAATCATCAGCAAGAGAAAAAGCACAATGATGAATTAAGGATAAAAAATTCCAGAAATACAGTATATGATTAAGTAAATACTCTTTAAAAGCTGCCTTCTCTCTCTCTCTCTCTCTCTCTCTCTCTCTCTCTCTCTCTCTCTCTCTCTCTCTCTCTCTCTCTCTCTCTCTCTCTCTCTGTGTGTGTGTGTGTGTGTGTGTGTAAGACGGGATGTTATAAAACTTTGAATGTAGGAGATGATCAGGATGAGCCGAGGGAGGGGTCAAATGCATCATTAGTCCCGAGTCCCTTCATACCCACAAGAGATCTAAATCCAGTCCACCTTGAATTCCATTGACTCTTATCTACTGCCAAGTTGCTTTGACTGTTAATAGTTCAGATTCTTGTAGAGAGCTTAAGCTTGCAACAAACCCTTATATTCATTTGAACTTGATTCCCCAGCACTTGATATTGATCATTGAAAGATGGAAGTGACCTTCTTTCCATCACAACCTTTTGACCCTTGCTTTAAGGCAGAAAACATCTTCTTTTCCAGTGTCTGATAGAACCAACTACCAAACTATCTCAAGGCTCTTGGCTGCAAAGATCCATGACTAAGATTTTTCACTTGTTTCTTTTTCAGATATGGATGACTGTGTCAGTTGCCCAGAAGATCACTATGTAAAAGATGGGGGAAACCTGTGCACTCCTAAAGTTATACATTTTCTCTCCTATAAAGAGCCTTTGGGGATCACCTCAGCTTCATTTGCTATCTCCCTTTCATTGACTGCATCTTTTGTGCTAGGAGTTTTTATTAAGCACCAGCACACTCCTATCGTCAAAGCCAACAACCAAAGTCTCAGCTACAGTCTGCTTATATCCCTAATTCTCTCCTTCCTTTGTGCATTCTTCTTTTTTGACCGACCCGTTCAAATAACTTGTCTTCTTCGACAAACATCCTTTGGCATCATCTTCTCAGTGGCAATTTCATGCATATTAGCAAAAACCATCATGGTGATCCTGGCTTTTTTGGCCATCCAACCGCATTCCAAGATGAATAAATGGATGGGGAGAAAACTGCCAATTTTTATTGTTCTTTCCTGTTCCCTTGTTCAAGCAGGCATTTTGACCATTTGGCTAGGATCTTCACCACCATTCCCAGATGTTGACATGCATACATTAGAGGGAGAGATAGTGCTGGAATGTAATGAAGGTTCAACTAAAATGTTCTATTGTGTTCTAGGATATATGGGCTTCCTTTCCATTGTATCTTTCTTTGTGGCCTTTTTAGCTAAAAACTTACCTGATAGTTTCAATGAAGCCAAGTTCATCACGTTTAGCATGTTGGTCTTCTGCAGTGTCTGGCTCTCCTTTGTTCCAACTTACATGAGTACCAAAGGAAAATACTTGGTAATTGTGGAGGTCTTCTCTATCTTGGCCTCCAGCACTGGCTTACTAAGTTGTATCTTTTCCCCCAAATGCTATGTGATTTTACTAAGACCTGATCTGAACCACAGGGAGCAACTAATAAAGAAAAAGAAATAAGTGCAGTATAAAAAAATTAGAATTTCCTCCCTTTTAGACGAAGACTGAATATCTTGGGGAGGAACAACAGAATAAACTTATTCTATTCTCCATTATTTTCAGTTTCCAAATTTCAAACCCTGGGAAATTTGCAAGGGTTAGATTAGCCTGCCACCTCTTGGTCAGCGGCAAGGGTTAAATTAGCCTGCTGCCAATGCAGCTGATCAATGTGGCAATGCAAAATGCACTCATCTTCCAGGACCACTTCATAAAAGAGTGGTCCTGACACCTTACAAACCACAGCTACCACCCTCAGTGCCCCTTGACCATAGTTTCTTGCCCAAACTCGGTTGCTGATTCACAAATCCCTTGGGGGCTTGGGCTGCACTGTCTCTGTTGCAACTCGATCTGGATGGGGATGGTCCAGCTTCATGGTCAGCCAACATCCCCATCTCAGTTTTGCTGGGCTATGACCCATTGATGTGCACGGAGTTGTGTGTTCGCAGAGCAAAAAGTGATGCCAATTGCCCTTTGTCATTATTTGGTCATCCTGACCATCATTTCCACTTGACCAATAGAGGCCAGGTGAAATGGGGCTGAGGTGGCATGTCTAATCATATTAGACATTAGAAATGACTGAAATTCAGCAGCAGTAAATTGTGCCCCATTATCCGATACAATTACATTGGGTAAGCTGTGTGTGGCAAAGATTCTGCACAATTCCTGGATGATCCTGGCAGTAGTCATAGAAGGGACGGGTGCTACCTCAAGCCACTTTGTGGCTGTCCACTACAATGAGGAACACCTGTCCTTGGAAGGGTCCTACATAGTCTATGTGAATCCTAAACCAGGGAGTTTGCGCAGTTTCCCAGCGATGTACTTGGGCTTGAGGCATTTCAGGTCTGGACTGTTGGCAAACCTGGCATCCTTTATCTTGAGCTTCAATATCCTTATCCAACCCTGGCCAACCTAGGTAGCTTCTCATTGAGTGCCTTCATCCTGACTATTCCAGGATGTCCCTCATGCAGAAATTCTAAAACTCTTTCCCTTAATGTGTGTGAGTCTACAACCCTACTCCCACATAGAATACATCCTTTGTATGCAGACAGCTCATCTTGTCTTCTAATAAAGCTCTGAAATTCTGTCCCAGGATTAGTTCCTGGCCACCCCTTCAGAACCCAGTTCAAAACTTGGCTGAGGGTTTTGTTGGAGGCTGTCTCAGAAGCCACATCCCCAGTGTGAAGGGGAGATTCTGGCAAGTCCTGAACTGACAAGATACGTGCAGCAGGTGTGGGGTCTGATTCTAAATTAGGCAGGGCCAGTCTCCTGAGTGCATCAGCTTGACCCATTTCCTTGCCAGGCTTATGGACTAGCCTGTAGTTGTAGGCCCCCATAAAGATTAACCACCTCAACATCCTTGGTGACAGGATCTGAGGGGTTTGTTTGTCTGTAGTAAACAGACCTAGAAGAGGCTTGTGGTCTCTAAAGACCATAAATGGGTGACCATAAAGAAAATCATGGAATTTCTTTATTCCTGCAACTATGGTTAAAGCCTCCTTATTTATTTGAGTGTAATTTCTTTCCGCATGCTTGCTGCCCATTTGCCATTATATGGCTCAGAACTGCTCCTACCCCATATGATGATGCATCACATGCAACACTGATAGGCAGTTTTTTGTTAAAGTGTGTTAACACTGAGTCTGAAGACAGCAGTGATTTGACTGCTTTGAAACTGTTTTCGTGGGTGCTAGTCCACTGTCATGGTGCCCTTTTATCTAAGAGCCTGTGTAGAGGCTCTGCTAATGGAGCCTTGTGAGGGAGAAAGGCATGATAAAAGTTAAGTAATCCCAGAAATGCCTGCAGCTCTCCCTTTGACTTTGGTCTGGGAGCTTGCAAAATAGCTTTGAGCTTTGAATCAGCTGGGTGTATTCCGCAGTGTCAATCCAGAAACTGAGGAACTCTGTGGAGTTCACTCCTATTTGACATTTCTTTCATTTGAGCTTCAGCCCCTCTTCGTGGAAGTGCTGAAGAACAGCCCTTAAATGCTCTGCAAGTATCTCTGCTGACTCCCCAGCAATTAAAACATCATTGAAATAAGGACACACACCTGGAATATCTTTTTAACGTGCATTCCATCACACCTTGAAAGAGCCCTGGGGCTACACTGACCCCAAACTGCAGGTGACGAAGTTTGAATGCCTCTCTATCGGTAACTATTGTTTGAGCCTCAGCAGAGGCATCATCCACAGGCATTTGCTGATAAGCCTGTGCCAGGTCCAGCTTTGCAAATAAGCGACCTCCTTGTAAGGATGCCAGAATGTGGCTAACCACAGGTACCAGATACGCATGCTGCTGCAGTGCCTTATTAAAAGTGCACTTATAATCAGCTCAGATGCGCATCTCTCCATTAAGCTTGACCAGTGTAACTATGGGGTTTCCCACACACAGCTGTCAATGGGTTGCAAGACTCCCTGTTGAACAAGCTTATCTAACTCTGCATCAATCTTGGGCTTAAGGGCAAAATGCACTCTACGAGGCTTTACTCTGATTGGGGCTACAGTTGGATCCAGGTGGAGAGCAATGGGTGCTCCTTTGTATTTCCCTAAATTGGGATCTGAATACATCTGCAAACTCCTGGCAGACAGCTGCCTAATCTGCTGTTTGTGTTCTGTTGATGCCAGTCACATGGATGCCCAGGGCATCAAACCAGTCTAGGCCGATCAGGCTTGTTCGCTGGCCTTTGACCACCACAACACTGAGGGGACCCTCAAACTCTTTGAATGGCACTTTTATCATAGCTTCTCCTTTAACCACTATGTGGGAGTTTTGAAAATCTATCAAAATTAAATCTGATGGCTTGAGTCTGACTTGTTTCCCACTATGTCTGCAGATGAAATTAAAAGTCTTATAGGAAAGTATAGACACAGCTGATCCAGTGTCCAGTTCATTGGAGCATGGAACTCCTTGCTGCTTGACTTTTAGTCTAAGTTTTTCTTTTGGGGGGGGATGGGCTCCAGCTCTGAAGATGCTCCTTCTTCCGGAGCAAAATCCTACTCTATTTACCTCTAAGAGGTACCCCATTACCTCTCCTGGGGAAATCTTCATGTGGAGATTCCATCTAGCAACCTTTACAGACGGTAGTGATATGGCCTTGTTTGCCACATGCTCGGCACACAGCTGCGCGAAACCGGCATTCTGAGTGCTGGTGTCATCCTCCATAGCCTGACAGCTAGGGAAGAAGGCTGCCTTGTCAAGTGGCCACTGCCTTCTTTTTGGGATCTTCTGCACCTGGTCAATCTCAATGTCTGCATCTGGGTCTTCTGTTTTCTCTGACTCTTCATGATGCACAGCCGTCTGGCTGGGGAAATTCTTTGTAATTTCTTTGGTGGCTGTTCCTTTGCTGAATCACTTTCCCTTTGCACTGACAAATGTATGATGAATTTATCCATTTTTATTAATATGCACCACTATCAGCTAGCTCAGGGGTCTCCAAACCTGGCACTTTTAAAACTTGTGGACTTCAAGTACTAGAATTCCTCAGCCACCATTGGCTGGTTGAAGAATTCTGGGAGTTGAAGTCCACAGGTCTTAAAGTTGCTAAGTTTGTAGACCCCTGAGCTAGTTGGTTGGCCCTTCTTCCTCTCTCCCTCTACTCTTCTTCCTCCCTGCCTTCTGAGCTCTCCTTTCACTGTGTAGTAAGAATGCACCTCCCAGTCCCTTCTCTGTATCCTTAAAGACACAGGAATCAAGGACAAAGCAAGAAAGGCTCATAAAAGCCTCCCAGAATAAAGAAACACTAAACTCCAGGGTTTTTTTCTTTAAGCTGCCTCAGGCATGTCTCAGTTTAAACAATGTAGCAAAGGCTCAGCAATTGTGAAAAGCAATAACCTTAAATTAAGCCTGTTTACCTACAAAGAAAAGTTGCTAAAAGCCATAGACAGACTCAAGATAAGGAAGTAAAACTAATTACATTTGTTTAAATGAATTAAACCTACAGAAGCCAACACTTTGGACTCATTGCTAGCCTTGTGAAACAGACTAAAATATTCCGATAACCAAATCACACAAACCGAGCCTCTAAATTACAAAACACTGTAAAAACTGTAGAAAATTCCTTATCGTAATCCATTCAAGCTGCCAGCAGATCAAGAACCCACTGTTTTTTTTAAATAAACCCACCTCCTTTCTGACATGCTTGTTCCTGGCTTTTCATTTCATCAGCACTGATTGCATTCTCCTAACTGGAGAAAATGAACCAGGGGACCTTTTCTTCCACCAACAGCTGCTTTTTCTTCCCTGTCCCTGTTTTCTCCATGCCTACTGAGCTCTCCTTCCTCAGCTTCTTCTTCTTCTTCCCCTTCTCTTTCCATGTTGTCTTTTTTTCCCCTTTCCTGCCAAAACCACCTCCTTTTATATCCTCTCCTCTCCTTCCCACTTTTCTCTTCAGTTCATCTCCAGCTCCATGCTGCTTCCGGAAGTACTAATCAACTGGAGCCAATCAGCTGGAGCCCTGCTGGCACTCCTGGGGCTTCTGCCAAGACCTGCAGTCCTGCAGCTCCAGCTGCCTCTTCCTCAGGCTTGGGTCACTTGAGCTCATTCCCTTCCCCCACTACACTTCTCTAGGATAGTTGCATACCATCTGCCATGTGCCAAAGTATCACAGGTGGTATGTGTACCACTGGTTGAAAAGCCCTGACCTAGCTGACTAGGTGTCTAAGCCAGGACTAGAACCCTTGGTCTCCTTGTTTTTAGTCTGGTGTCTTCACTACTACACCAAACTGGCTTGCTATCAAGGACTTACATATATTTAAAAGAAAGAACTATTGGTAATCCTATAGGTAATAAAACAGTTCTTGCAATCCTTTGCAAGATTTCTTGGGAAAGGGAGGGAATGGGTGATTCTTACACGTTTATTTAAGTTCTAAGGTGTGCATATTTTGGCCTCAAATTATCACAAGAACCTCCATTTCTGCACTGCAGTTTATTGCTATATATGACTAGCTAGCTATAGCCATATAAAG